ATGCGGCTGCACATGCTTCCCTTGTGTGGTCACATACACCTGTTGATAGCCTTCAATTGAGTTTCGGTAAGGGGTTATGCGGCCGAAAGCTTAGTTACCCTATGCGGTCGAATATTTCTTCACTTCAGCCCCATTATTTTCTACTCGATCCAAGTTGATTCATCTTGTTCGGTCCTCCATATCCAATATGAAACTTGTCCTTTTTCTTATTGTGGTTGCTGTTTCAACCACCGTAATCTGAACAAGTAATCTCATAGCTTCTTCGACTTTCTTTGCTCGTGACCTAGTCATTGGTCCTTCCTCCTCGATCAACGGATTTTTGCCCTCGCTAGCTCTCGTACCATGGATCTCTCATCACCTTCATTTCCTATTGTAAAGATTGTTGACCCACATTTAATGAGCCAATCTCAATTTTAAAGGCATTCTAAGCGATGGTCGAACATGCGTGTCTCTGATACCAAGTTGTTATGTTGCTTAGAAAATGAACGTGTAATTGGTTTATGCATGGGGAAAGCCCACGGATCGAGTTTGCAAGGCTACCATTTTGCAGTTGGGATAATTTCTAGGATACTTCGACGAATCCTAGTCCTCTTTGATAGGGTAATTCGAGGTACCCTACTAGACCTTCTGATTTAATAAGGGGAAAGGATCATTATTTGATACTTTTAATCATACCATGCAGGGATTAAATAGTATTTTGGCTAACAAAGTAATAAGAAACTTGCAAAGTTAGAGGACTAACAGGCTCTCACGTTAACTAAGTGAGAGTCCTTTATTGACTTGTGAAATAAAACTAAAGCTGAATGATAGCCTTTCCATGCCAAGCTCATATCCACAATTATGGCACTCTCCATCATAAGGGTAATCCTGCCTTATGGAGTCCTAATTGAAATTCCAGCTGCCAAGAGAAAGCCACCAATCAATCCTTGCCTTGCTAACATCTAACGGTGGAGGCAGAGATGGTGAAGAAATTGGTTGGGGCAGTTTGATTAATTTGAGATTTTATCAATGTAATAAATATGGTGTTGGAAGGTTTTTTTTAGGATATTAATCTATTTTTTTTATTTTTTTATTTTAAGAGTAATGGCCCTAATTTCTTCCTCTTCTTCTCTTTTTTTTTTTTTTTTGTAGATAAAAAGACAAAAAATAAAAAAAAAATTAAAAAAAAGAAAAAAAAAAAAAAAAAAAAAAAAAAAAAGAAAAAATAAAAATAAAAAAAATTCAAAA